TTTCATTAAATATGATGGATATATGATAAAATATTGCTATTCTTAACATTTCTTAATCTTTAAAGCCTTATGTCCAGCATGTTAAAAATCAATCTGAAATCTCGGATAGAGAAAAAATTGACAAATCATATTCGCAAATAAAATTGTTCATGAATAATTCGGTAACATGACCAATACGATTGGTCAATTCGATCTTTTCTTATCCGAGATCTCGAATCGATTTCTAGCATCATGGACACAAAGCTTAACACTCCATTCTTAACACCTCGTATTTTTAACACAATCTATCTCATTTCTTATTATTTAAGATTTGTCACATAATAATTATATATAAACAGTAAACAGTAAACACACAAACGAAAAGGCAAGTAAAAGATTTTGCCTATCTCTCTGTTTATTCTTTACGCGATAATATTATAGGAAAAATGAGAATTGAAAAGTAAGTTAAAAATATATAGAGAGTTCATTTGATCTTTTAAGATTAAACAAGTTAAGAAGAAATGAATTCGATTTTTATTAAACTGACATAAGTGTCATAAAGACTTTGACATATGTTAGATGCTATAAAATTAATAATCTTGTAAAAAGAACTTCTTCAAATTATATATAAAAATAAATTTCCTTTAAATCATAGTATCACTACAATTAGACAGGTCGTATTTTGCATAATTGTTTTGAATACTGGCAATAAAAAACTTAAAGTTTTTTTATACATTAAATATATAAGAAAACTTTAAGTCTTTTATTACGAGTATTCAAAACAATTATGCAAAATACGATATATCGCCTGTCTAATTGTAATGCTACTATGATTTAAAGGAAATTCGTTTTTCTTAAAGTGAGAGATTGGATATAATTAACGTTTTAATTTGCATTTGATGGATACCTTGTGGTCAGACCAAATTAGTTGCCACCAAATCAGCATATAAAAAACATTTTTGTACGCGCGCGAGTTAGTTTCTTTGTAAAAAAAATATCGAATTAATAGATATAGAAAGAAGATCCGTTTCGCCTTTAAAAGTTACAGTAGACTAATTGAGTTATTAGATGAAGCAAATACTTCAGATTATTCTTTCTGTATGCACGTGGAGACGATTATTGTGGCGATTGGTGCAATTGAAAACTTGCCGGAACGATTCGGGTATAGAGTATATTTCAAAGAGAACGTTGCGTCATGTGGGTTTTGAAGAGCATTCTTCGTCCTTAGGCCGCAACAATGCCGCCATTACACGCGTGACAGTCGCTCACGCTCCAATAAAACTCACCAAAAACCTGTCTGAAGTCCACAATGCTTGGACTTGATGCGTTGGTCAGAGTTGGTATGCACGACATATTTCTTGATCGCAGACTACAATCATCTTAGCCAGTTTTGTCCTTGTGATTGGAAATGAACACACAGATTTATTTATCGAATTGGTATTAAAAATTTATCAATGTTCTGAAAATATTAGTGATGCACCTTTCGATTAATCTTAGGTCAATGATTATCTATTATTTAAAATGTATGACAATTGAAACAGATCACTTTAAAAGTAATATAATACTAAACTATAATGTGAACATTTTTTAGCAAACGTAAAAAATCTTTCAAAAATATTCTACTTTTTCTAATCGGATTTATAAATCAAATTTCTGTTTTATTTTTATTATTTTTCTATTATTTATAATATGTACATTACCTTATTTGAATGTTATTTTTATATAAATTCGTTTAACGATGTTGTATTCACAGTCTACTATTAATCAATTGTAAAATGATGCTTATTCATACATATAGTACATGCTATTCTTTCACTTTTTCACACCACGAGATTTTATATAAAAATTACAAAATATAAAAATTTCCTTAAGGAGGGGGAACACTGTAGAGACCGTAAAATTAAAGGTACTTTTTAAAAGAAAACAATACACGTAAATGAAATTTGGTTTTATTTATACAAAAATACATGTTTTAATATGTACGTAAAAAAAAAATAGAATCCGATATTTCCATTTTTGTGTCTTTTAGAGCTGACGCTAGTAGGTCTTAAAAAAAAAGAGGGATGAGCTGGTTGACACGATTCCTGCAAAACAGTTGACCAGAAATAAAAAAATCAAAATTATTTTTAAAATATATTATACCATAGATCACTCATTTCTGTCTCATCGTAAGGAATTTTAAATTTTACAAAATTTTACAAAAGCTATTGAACTTTTTTAAAAAAAAAGTCACATTTTGATCCTTTTTTATTCTATTTTTTAACATCTAAAAAATCCATAATTTTGTTAAAAAAAAACTCTACAATAGGCTTTTTTTTACACGTATTTTGAATTTTTTTTAAACCCCCGATTGGAGTAAAACTGATCAAGATATGTTGTCAACCAAATCGGAAAAAGTAGTTTTGAGAAAAATGTAATTAAAGTTTCTGTATTGGATTACATGTGGATGAAATGGAATATATTTGGACTAACGTCTATTCAGCGATTCCTGGGCCATAAAGTAACCCCTCCAATTCCAAAATTCGATCCTGGAATTCGGAATTAGCTTGTCGGCGTAAAGTACGAGCCTCTTTCTTCATTTCTTGCGCTCATTGATTAGTAACTGCCAATCATCGATTTCTATGCAATATTTATACATTTGTTCGCCGATTTGTACTCCAAGTTCCTTCAGAATTTGCAAGAGACCATCATTGAATAGTACTGAACAGTATTTTTATTTTATTTTAGCAAAAAAAATGAGCTTTCTGAATTGCTTACTCACTTCTTACCTAACTATATGCGTGAAGTTAGCATATGTTTTACAACATGGCGCAATATATAATATATGCTAACTTCACGCATATAGTTAGGCAAAAAGTGAGCAAGCAATTCAGCAAGCTCATTTTCTTGCTAAAATAAAATCAAAATGAATCACAGATGTCCAATCGAGTTGACTAACGGAAAATTCTAATCTCTGACATTTCTTGAAATTTTGATCTCAAATTTTCAGAGGACATTCTTGAAATGTGTACATCACACATCTATTAAAATGAAAATCTAAAAATCAATTTTTTGAAAATTCCAGTGTTTCCCCCCTTAAATTCAAAGAATTTAGAACAGATTTCCTTGTACCTATATACTTGTCTTATCTCTCTTTGTTTATTTTTATTATCCCTCCTCTTTCTCTCTATTTGGTTTTTAAAGAAATCCTTCTAGCCTTTAAGAAATCTGTTTAAATCGTTTCAATAAACTGTTTGTGACGCATTTAACACTCGTTACGTCAAGCCATTTGTAATCAACGTCTAGTAGCCACTAGCACCTGCTGCATAAGTGGATGTACGTTAAAAGTTGAAAGTCGTGTATGCCTACGATTCTTATCTCGTGCTCTACACTATCTGTAACAGTGAATGCAGCTCGTATTCGATCGGCTTGTATCGAAATAATCGCGTGTCACCGGTTCTCCGCGAGAACAGACGTAAGTCGCGAGCGAAGACCGAAAGCCTCTCTGGGAGAGAGATCATCGATATGAGAAAGAGTGCGCGCATTCGAGACGTAGCGTGGCCCCTCGTACACGCCATCCATTGCTTCCAACGTGAATGCGATCGGACACTCGAAATGACACGAAGCCGGCAGTAGACCGCGCTATGCCACAAGCGTGCAATTATAGCAAGTCATTGGGTCCATTGTGCTGGTTCTACCAGACCTTCTCGGAGAAAAAGAGAAGCCCCTGTCTTTCTCATTGTTCCTTCTCGACGGATAGCAGCAGTGTAGTGGCCCCACTGTTGATAAAACAGATAAACGTGTCTCGGCGACTCACGATGGATCTAAGTCTACTTGACTCGGAAAAAAAAAAATATATATATATATATATAAAGGAGATTTCGATTACGTAGACTACGTAGATTACGTAGATCTTATCGAACGTTTCTTTACCTCGAAACTTATTGATCGCTTAATGTATACGAAATTGTGCCTTTTGAATAACAAACTGTCCACAATAAATTACAGTATAGATATCATGTTAAATTGATCAATTGACAAATGCACAATATCATAACATAATACATTCGTATTCGCGTTACACGTAGGTACTTATTTAGCGATAAATAAAAAAAATATATATAGGTCCTATTGTAACTCATTGTCAAGTTAGATAAGGTGCGCAAATAAAGAGCCTTTTCTACATTACTAGAGATTAGTATATAACAATAGGGTTCAACGTGAAAATAAAAAAAAATGGTTCCACCATATTATCTTTTATTTTTCGACATCAATGTATATAAACATTTTCGCGATGTAGAATTGACGGAAACAATTCTTCCCAAAGACGTAATCGGTATTGTACCATTAAATTATCGTCTGATGTTTAAAACTCCTACGAGAAGACGACTGCGGCGTTACGCTTAGTGGGGAAAAAGTCCGACCGAATTGCATCAAATGAAGTCACAACTCGGACAGCGGGTGGTCGGCACGGCACAGCGGATTCCTTCGACTTGGTCGGAGCACACATCACGAGATTGTATTGTGTGGGACCGCGAGGAGAAGGAGTGCTGCGCCGTGGGATTTTCTAGAGGCGGCATCTTTCATCTCTGCCAACCCCCTTTGGATGCGCTGGCCGCCCCCGCAGGACTTTCTCGCGCATTATATGCCGCTACGATACCACCGCCCCGTGTCGCATAGCCGACTCTGACGAGGCGTGTATACGTGATCGCGCTACCGTGCTCACAATCACGAAGAAAAAAGGGAACGCGAGCGGAAAAATGACACATCAACCGAAAGAGCTTCTATAGACCGAAGGTGTCAAACGCGCCGACACCTGATCAACGATCTTGTCGCGTCTTCTTTTGAAACTTAGCTAACAAGAGATTTAATTATATACATATTTACTTTTTCTCATTCTTCTTTTTATCATTCTTACAATTTATTATATAAGATATGTTTTTGTTTTAATTTTGTATACGTTTGTATTTTTAAAAGATTTGTTTTTTCAACATATTGTATATGCAATATACAGAATGCCCTGAATTTAAATGACCAAACTTCGTGTAGAGGATCGATAAACTAAGAAAAAAAGTTCTTTAAAGATATGTTCATTTTTGCCTGAAAAAATAGTAAAGAAAAGACAAAATGTAGTTTTCATTTTCTTATTTATTATTTATTCATTCACACTTATTTATTCACGTTGTCATTTGCTTAATTCAAATATTGTTCAAAATGTTGGCCTCTTGTAGCAATACATCTTGTACTGATAATTCGTGTTACAGTCAAATGATCTGGTCAACATAATGATTTGCCGATCCGGCACTCTTCTGTCTGGAAATCGGCACATATACATATACTCTCGCACTGCCTCTGAAGCATTATCGCTAAAGTCATACACGAAAGCAATAATATTCTGAATCGTGGCTGCAATGCACGAAATATCATCAGATCAGTGTTTGGCGGCAACACGAACTGTCCGTACTAGATGCAATGTCATTACTATACAAGAAGCCAATATTTTGAACAATACCTACATTAAAAAAATGACAATGATGTGAATAAATAAGTAATAAATGAATACAAAAATGAAAATAACGTTTTGTCTTTTTTGCGATTTTTTTTCCAAAACGAAGCAAAAACGAGCATATCTCTAAAGGACTTTTTTTTCCTTACAATTAGTTTATCGATCCCTAACACGCTTCCGAAGTTTGACCATTTAAATTCGGGATACACTCCGTATATAATATATACACTACTGCCAAAACAAATACTAAGAAATTTTTATTATTTTATCGAGTTTGAAAAATTGATATGTTAATATCAAGTTATTATCAGATATAAATTATTATTAATTCTTCGACATGTTACAATTATTAAGTAGTAAATGGAGAGGAGAAAGTAACAATAATTATATGTTAGAATTTACCAGAGTGAATAAGAAATAAAAGTACTTATATATTTTTAAAAAGCTTGCAAGACAAACGAAAACGAATAAAATAAATTAAATTCAAACTTTTTTATAAAGACTATAATTGAGCAATTGGATTAAAGCCTAATTAAAGAAAGCTTTAATTTTTACATCGGAGATAGATAGCCTACGTAAAATAAAATATACAATTGACAAGAAAGAAAGAGGAAATACAATAGGTAACAATCATTATGACAGACATTCTTCGTGATATCGTAAAAGCTATAATAATAAAAGGTATAACATTTTCGTAGATTGTAGACAGCGGAAAGTTTCACTGCAATTTCTACATAGCTCAACATGTCCCGTTCCGACCCATTCGCATATTTAACAGAACATCAACATAGAGTGAGTGATGATTCTACCTTTGAATTTATTTCTTTAATTACGAAGGAGCGTGCAGAAACACATCTCGATTCTTCTTGCGCGTATACACATATACACTTCTGAAGTCGCTGCACGATCTTGATGATTCGTTATTCGAGTTTGATCGATTGGCCGATGCCAAGGTATGATTTAGACCTCGTGCGCTTCAGATACTAACGTGTGTTTTCGAACTAGAGTCTTCGTCAAAAAACTCTGATCTTATATTGTAGAAAAAAAACACTTATGCGCTTATCTGGATCCACAAAAGTTATTTGTCTGTTCGATCGTTTTTCCAGCAGGATGAAAAGGAAAAGATTGAAGCTTTATTATGAAAAAAGATTTATTGTGGAAATTGTTGTCTATAACAATAAATTTTTAGTTAGCACATTATATTGTATACATATACTTATTATTTTTAATTGTAAATATATAAATCAATTTTATTGTTTGTTTAATTTCTTTTCAGGATAATTTGAATAAATAAAATTGAGAAATAAAAAGTCTACACATTTTTTCGCTGTTCTAGTAAGCGGCACATAAACATGTTTTTAAAAAGGAGAAAGGGAGAGATTTATTGATTAATTATAATTAACCTTTATTAGCCTCCTCACATACATTTCTAATACATATAATATTCTGTTATTTATTTATTTATCTAAATTAGATTCTTTTACCATTCTTTTAACATCTCAATTCTTTCAGAACGCTTTGTCCCTGTCGGTAAGGCGTTATATATTTTTCTTCAGAACATCCTTTCTTGCTTACTGTTTGTCTTACTGAAATTGTATTGCAAGGTTTTCAACCTATCTTATCTGTTTCCCACTTATACACTGTAAAAAGTGCAACGTTTGAAATACTTATATTTAAAACATATTGTCCAAAACAAATATTCCCGATAAAAAATTTTTCATGCTTGTATATATATAAATATATGTAAGTATATATAAACGTGTACAAACATTCATAAACATATATTATTATATATGAAATATATATATTCATGTCCTTCCTTTCGTGAAATTGCTATTTATAATAGTATAATAAAAATAATTATATTAAGAAAACACGTATTAAGAAAACATAAAAGAAATTAAAAGGATAATTTTAGCATTGTTTAAAAATGTCAAGTTTGAAGAAAGATAAAAAAAATTGCTCATATATAATTATATATAAAATATACATATATGAACAATTTTTTTTTACACTTCTCCAAACTTGTTTCTTCTTTCTAAAAGAAACAATGCCAAAATTACTTTATAATTATTCTTTTATGCTTTCTCATTATTATTATTCTTATTCAATACATAAAAAAAGAACTTTTCGAGCTCGGTTTGTACATGTATGCCGTGACTGTGTATTAATATAAAAAATTATAATAATTATAATATATATTATATCATTTTTTATGTGTTAAATGATATTCCATCGAGCTTCGCGACACAAGTTTGATTATTATTACTATTATTATTATTATTATTTTTATTATGTTAAACACAATTTTACAAAAGAAAGAAGGACGTATAGACATGTACGTACATATTTCATATATAATTATATACATATGTTTATGAATGTTTATACATGTTTATGTATGTTTCTATATTTACATATATTCATGAAAAGTGCATGAAAAATTTTTTACTGGGTTTAATAATAAAAAATGTTACAGTTTTAAACGTTTTAGCGTTTTAAATTTAAACATCTTAATGTTTTAATTATTTAAAACACGCTAACAAATAGGGATGCACCGGATCGTAAAATTATACCGAATACCGGACATCGGATATCGGACATCCGGTGTCATTTTTTTCGGATATCCAGTCGGATATCCAATATTTCTCTTTATTATCCCTAACCGCCGAATATCTAGAAAGTGGATTCCAAAAAAAGAAACAGCAAGGGAAACATAGCGATAATAATTTTTCTTTATCTTTCCAACATAAAAAGAAAAAGAGGAAAGCTGAACTGTGCAAGAAATTCAGTTGAAAGAAATAAAATTCTGCATTAACGTGACGTAAACTGTCAATACAAAATTTTAATCGGATACTATACTTATATGTATATAATAATGGCATCCGGCTATCCGGCCGGATAGTAAAAAAAATGTCGCATAATGCCAGATACCGGATATTTCCCCGATATCTGATGCATCCCTAGTAGGTATACATATACATATGTATATATAGGTATTACATTAATCTGTAAGGTCTTAATCGCGATACAATTTTAAGCCTAATGAATCGATGTGATTATCTCTTTAAGGATTAGTAAACATTATTTAATGTAAATGCAAATCTACTTGATTGTAATTTGTTTGTAAATTTAATATTCTAGAACAATTTTTTGTTTTGTAGAATTAATAAAAGTACAATAGTAATTAATAAGAAGCTTATAAGCTTACACTGGATGTCAATGTGAAAGGTTAGTTATTTTAAAAACGTCGATTTAATGAATGATAAAAGTATTTTTTTGTGTCACACAGTCAAAGTGTTAACTTTAGTAAACGTATACACTTACTAGTCGATGTGTACATTTACGTATAGCAAATGTATACACTGACTACAACAGACTACAATAAATGTATAATACATTCACTGAGTTAACACCTTGACTGTGACATATGCACAAAATAGGCCACATTTCTGTTATACGATATTCTATTTATGAACTGGGCACAGAAAAATAATTGTCTTCTTTGTTTTTCAATGATTATCCGATCGATAAATCTGAAATAATTATACACTTCTATGATAAATTTGTATCGTTTTTTTGAATTTATTATACACGATATTATTATTGTAAATGAAATTTATGGCGAAGGCTTTATAGATCGATTTATTGTCAAGAATCTATGAGATCTTGGTTAGGAATACAATAATTAAGGGCTACCTGGGTTTTACCACCCGCAGTGAGAAATCATTGTCTCGTGCGCCAGGTAGCAAAACGCAACCGGTACATCGAGATCCTTTCCGATCTTCTGTACCTTCGTTTCCCATTAATCAACGTCGGCACGCGAAATTAATTGGCCGGGATCAATGTTTTGGCACTCAGCTCCTCTTACGAAACGAACACAACGATGACGCAACAAACAAACGGAGATAATCGTGTAGCATACTCTGAAAAGAAAAAATAAAGAGAAAGATAATAGAATGACGTCTAGAGAGTTTTTAAAGGAATATTATGAAAGACACTGTCCTCGCTCAGCTATTCCTCAGTTTTTCGGTGACGAAGAAAATTTCAGTGGCGCCATTATGTCGCCATTATGATCTTTTTGTACGACTTCTTCTTATGTACGTAATGAATATTAAATGCTTCAGACATGCGAGACAAATGACGTATATTGAGAGACTGGTTTCTTTTCAAATAAATATCTTTACGTATAAATATCTACAACGGTGAATTTTGCGTTATTAATGCAAAATATCATGCAATAAGTATGAAAAACAAAATAAGTTCAAAATAAAGAATTTGCGTAAACATTTATAAACATTTATAAATACTTATTAAAATCACTATATTTAAAAAAAAAAAATTATTAATTGTTTACCATTCACGTGTCTTATTAGGGAATACAAACGTGTAAATCTTGATATCTTTAAGGATTCACATTTGTATCACTCATATATCTATCTTATGAAAGAGATATATCGAACATATACTCTCATTGTCAGTAATAAAAAGTATTAAGAGCCGGTTGTTCCACTTTTTGGTAAATTTTACCTGTTGAGTAAGTAGCAAGATTATTCAATCACATGCGTAGATTGCCAGATTTATCTAACAGGTAAAATTTACCAAAGGTGGAACAACCGGCCCTAAATGTTTCAACCTATCTAAAAATCCAAATGTTTCTAAATACATTTTTATACAGAATTTTTGCTTTCCTATTGTAAGATCTTAAATATACTTTCGAAATAGTTATTTTGATGATGTAATTACATAAGCAAAGCCATTGCTGACATATAAGGCACCTTCGTGCAAAAATAATTTTGCCTTAATATTCTTTTATCAACCTTTTAAACAAGACACCTCCTAATCTCTTCCACATTACGACAAAATATTTGGCAAACCCTAGATCGCATTACGTACTAACAAACATGGACCATCCACACGCAGTACACAGAACGACAGAAGCAGAAATACAACGTCCTGAGTCCAAATAAACGGTTCAACCGATTTTACTCCACATGATCAAAAAACGCATTTAATAAGAGCTTGCTCAATGCTATATCTGCATTGGTCAAAAGACCCAATTTTTGAGTGACTCCTAATAGGATTCCAAAAGAAGAAATTATTAGTCAAATAGAGTCAACCATCTATAATCTCCCTGCTGCAGAGTAAGCTGACAACGAACACAGGTAGTTAATATCCTTCGTAAGGAGCCTCCAGTATCCAACATCGCCCGAGAAGAGCGGCTGACACTTCGGGAACTGAACAAGGACGAAGACATCGTCGTACTTGTCCAGCGGACAAAGGCAATACGACATGTGTTCATGAACACATCAGACTACAGGATAAAGATGGAAATCCTTCTTTCGGACGAGATATACACCAGGCTGAATAAACCCAACAAACAAGATTACACAGAACACCATTTGTCTTTGTTCATCCAATTCGATACAATAATTTGCTTCGATGACAATAGAAACAGTAGGTCCGTTGCTTGAAATCACCAAAAAATTTTGCATTTAAAAGAAGATAAATATGTACCTATTCAACAGTTGTCAAATTTGAAGCTCAACATTGCAATGCAAGATAATAAAAATGATAGAGAGGTCAATAATATGAGCAAATTTTGAGGTCAAAATTTAAAACTAGCTTATTAAAATGTCAAATGAATAATTTAAAACTAGTCTTTCAACATTATACAATATATAGTGTGTTTCAACTTTACTTAGTCTTCATCAGCCATTAGATTACAAATAATAAAGAATTAAAAGAATAAAAGTATAGTAAATTTATAAAGACATCAAAATGAAAGAAAATGTTAGAGTGATTCGTAATCATAATGTAAAAGATAAAAGCCACATCAAAGACGAGGACGTATTACAAAACTAAAATTTAGAGTATAATCAATGCACATTCTTCGTTATAAATCGTTAACACAGATTCAAAATGAACTATTTTTTTGTTCAATGGCAAAAGAGTAGAACCAGGAGAATAAAATTTATGTGTGAAGTCATCAAATGATATATGTGTCTAAACAGTGTCAAAAATGCAAACAATACTCACAATTTTATAGAGAAGATTTATAAGAATTGAATAAAAATTAAAAATTGAAATATATACGGACGTCGAAGAGACAAAGATGTTGAGTGCAAAAAGTACAAGCAACGCGATCAGACCTAGTATTACACGATCGGTAACACGAGATCGCCGAAGTCTTTGGAAACCAAGGGGATAGTGGAGAGTGAATATTCTCTTTAATATTCTCTTTAGATATTACGGAAAGATGGATGCGAATCGATAAATATATCATATATACACGACAATACCTTCGGGATGCACTTGTAGGCGTTTGCTTAAGTCCATTATACAATTCAATTTGTTAATAGTTCTATTGATCCTTTGTGATCGATAGACATCTGACTTGACTCGATAGAAACAAGGGGCGGTACATTTCTGGTACGATTAAAGAGCTGAGGAATCCTTTTAGCTAGCCGCATTTGAATACGATGGCGCAATTATTATCCTCTATTGATCGCCGATGCTTATCATCAGTTATTCTTTTATTTTTTTTTCTCTATCTAATACCAATATATTATATACTTTAGCTTTCAATTCGTAACGTTACGTGTTATCGTAATACTAATCCAACCTGTTATATGTTGTATTAATCCAACCTAACTGGCAATGGAATGAAAATATCCGTTTTGGTCGCCGCCACCGACAACGAGCAACATCTCCTACCTTATTGTTCCGTCGACAAGCGCACGGCAAGCTCACGGCCTGGCGAGGACATTGTGCACATCAGAAAGGAGGTTCGCACGACGGTAACCTGATCGACTTATCAATAACCACGTAATTATAGTACTAAAGAGTTGGTAGGGCTCAAAACAAGCCATAATAAGACATAAGCGTCTTTCCCACAAGTAATCTTATATCCCTGACGAAGGAGACCCGTGCCGCGTCTTTCAACTTTCAGCCTTTAGCTCGACCGAGGAAGTTTCCTTAAAGATAGAAAAAGAGAACTCTGCCCCTCACACATATACATGTGAGTTATACGTACCCTATGTACGCCAAGTATCCTCTTCTCTCTTCGTTCCATCGCTTCTCGATTCTTTTTGATCATTCCGTCTCGAGATCCTTTCTTTTGTACCTCTCCATCGCAAAGTGAGCAATGGAGTTTTATATTTAAGGCCCTATTGAAGTTTCTTCTATTATTACGCTGGTCCTTGTTTTGGTTTCATTGCCTTTGTGGATAAATTAATTTACGACCCAATTATCAATTACCTGTGCGACTCATTCGATAACCGCTCGCTTTCTACTTACATAAAAACATTACTTCTACTATTTTAAAAAGGAGAGTAAAATACGTACAAGAGCTTCGAACTTTGAGCGAAATTTCACGTAACAAGCTAATTTTCTAGAGCGGAAAAAGACTGATAAAAAAACAACGGTAGAATTGCAACAATAAAACGCGATTTGACAAACCGTGATATGAAAAATATTAGATTATACTTAATTCTTAAATAATTAAAAATAATTAATGAAATTTTAACTTAAACTTTAAAGGTTACATTTCTTATAAACGGCCCGATAATGTTCAATAATATATATATCAAAAACTTACGTACAAAATATTATATAAAGTAAAAATAACAGTGAAAATAAACTTGTTCGTTTTGTGTTGACAACCGACCAGTGAAATAACAAATTCATTTAATATCCTTTCGAATTAATGACGCTGAGGGTTGTTCTCAAAAACGACAAACAGCAATTTTTTTAAAGAATTTATACGTATTATTCTAAAAACATGAGATATATACATATACACAGTTTTGTGTTGTTTAATCTACATAAAAGTATATGTATAATAAAAAGCACAGGATTTATGTGAACCATCATCTATTTCTCTTATAGTAGTTATAAAAATTAAATAATATTAATATCATTTTTCAGACCGGCGCGCGCGGGCGTATGTGAGAGACACACCGATAAATAAGAGCCCTATACGGTCGAAGCCAGATCTTAAAATGCTTTAAATAATTCAATCTTGAATCACTAAATATGATATATATGTACTTGAAAAACTGTAATTAAACTTATTGCGAAAAATATTACCTCGGCCGGGAGTCGAACCCGGATTTCTCGTATTCCTTACGAGCGTCCTGAGCCATTAGACCACCGAGGCTGGTGGTACAGTTTTTCAGCATATTAATATCTTTGAAATATGATGTCTGATTGAGCATTGAAATTATGATAGAATTTAATTTAATTCGCGAAATTTACTATAGTGGTTTAATTGTGTTTAGTCCGAAAATATTTCGGTGCACAGTTCGTTAGACTACAATTGTGGTATATATGTCAAATACATATATATCATATTTAGTGATTCAAGATTGAATTATTTAAAGCATTTTTAATAATATTAATTTTGATATTATAAAATATATAATCTTTTATTTTCCTTGTTAGGGTGCGTTCAGATTATCGAGCCGAACATCGAGCTGAACATCGAGCCGCGAGCCGAGCTTGCGTCCACACATTCAAAGATCCTACATCCACATTGTCGAAATGAATATAGATTCACATCAAATCTTTGAATGTGGACGCAGGCTCGGCTCGCGACTCGATATTCGGAACGCACCCGAAGGATCCAATAACAAGGCTTGGTCGTTATCATAATTACATAATTACATTACAATAAGAAACGAAATATCTCTCTCTCTCTCTCCTCCCCCTCTCCCTCCTTCCCTTTCCCTCTTGACGAAAGTCTTCAATGTTTGCTAGTGTCTAGATGAAATTATCTAGATAATTAGATCTTCATCTTAGATAATTTAAAAAAAGGTAACATTTTTTTATCTAAAATACAAATGAAGATAATATATATTCTAGTAAAGACAAGATAAAGTTATTTCATCTAAATTATCTAGATAATTTCATCTAGATACTAGCAAATACTGAAAGTCTTTAAATAAAAAGTGTAATGGCCGAGTTGCACAGTTCGATGGCTTGTCCATGTGTAAGTTGAGTGACAAGCTATGAGCTTGGAGGTATGAGAAGGCCTATCTCGAGACCTGCGGCACATCAAAGACGCTAATGTTCATTTCTCTCTTTTTCTTTTCTCTTTCTTTTTTATCTCGTTTTGTCTCGTGCACATACCATTCCTCTCTCTTCACCGTATCTTCCAGACTCCGATTAATGTCCTCCCACCGAAGATCTGAATTTCGCGTGCCCTTCTCCCTCCATTCGTCATTGCTACATAGTATTTACAGATCCATAAATGTATAAAGTGATATGTATGACAAATTATTTATAGACATGCACATGGGTACAGAGAGAGAGAGAGAGAGAGAGAGAGAGAGAGAGAAAATTTCACTTTGCCAGTCTAAAATATAATTTAAAATATAACAAATAGAACTAGTTATAATAGAAACAAATTCAGAAAAGTGGATAAAACGTAATTTTATTATGGAACATTTAATACTTGCAAAAAATATAATGTATAGAGTCTTTGCTTAATTGAATACTTGCAAATGCGATAATGATAGAAAGACAATACTTATTAATAAATGCAAGATTTACATGGGAAAATAGTGCGTTAATAATAGTAGATACATAAGCCCATTGCTCGGATGGCCATCGACGAACACATAAGATCGTATTAAATTCCAGGAGAATCGTCCAGTCAATAAATCTGTTTGCAATTAGCGTAGCTCTGCACGTGAGCGTAGCTCGCATCGATCGTACGCCAGGTCTCAGAATAAATGCCATCATAAGGAACGAGACCCCAATGACCACCCGTCGCGAAGAGATGATTCTGGTGAGAGGAACCGGAAAGTGTGCAAAAAAGCAAAGGTGTATTATCCAGGATTCTATATACAGAGGATTCACTAATCAATACAAATATCTTGACAATTAAATACATTTTAACAAAATATCAATTTCAAAAAATTTTAATAATTTCTTTTAGAGTTGTATATTTTTGATACGCATAAATATTACAAAATGCTATTATACAATTATACGCAAGAAAAGATACTTCCTGCCAATAAATAAAATGTTATTATAAATAATATTATAAATTAAGAAGATAAGAATGTATGACAAACGGAATATAAAATTCTATGGTCTACCATATCTATAGCGCAATATAATATCTTGCGCCTTTTTTCGAAACTTCATTTATATCGCGTCTTTGCCTCATCGGTCCTAATAAATATATATTCCGCGAGCACATAAGGCCCAGCAGGACCTGCCTGATCTACGACACCCGGGAGAACCGACAGAAAAGAAGAGGCGGAAAGAAGGAAGAAAAGGGCTATATATATATATATATATATATATACATTTGTAATGGAGATATCGCAGTCTCGTGACGGTAATCGCGCGACGCGTTATGCAAATAGGATTGCCCTTTACACGCCAAGTTGGATCGTAATTGGCTCTTGCAGAACAGCCGGCTTTCGACTCCGCCGTTTGATTCTCCTTCTTCCGTTCCATCGGCGATTCCTCCTCTCATCAATGTCGCATCGTGTTATCCGTGATAAGTTCTCATCTCGCCTTCGCGAGATTGATATATGGTTAATGCTTGCGAGAAACGTTATCATCGGTTATTCGTTCAACGGTAATCATCTCCATCAATCTAAGTTGCATCAAGAAATTAGTGTCTGAGAGAGCGACTGACAGAGAGAGAGAGAGAGAGAGAGAGAGATGGGGGGGGGGGGGAGAAAAAGGTCGTTTCAACTTTCGAAAGATTCCAAGTTATTGCTTTGTGTTATTTAAGTGTAATACAGCTATCTTTCGAATTTTTAAGTACAATTTGTATACTATTCTGTAATATGAATTTTAACAAGAATAATTGGACAAACATTTGCGAATATACACCTTTTTCTGCATTGTTCTAGAATACGGTTTAGGGTATAATTATATAAGAGTTTATCTTCTTTAGCTCTCCTTCGCTATAATCATTTATGTTTTTTATTTCTTTATATTCATCGTCAAATGCATAATCTCAAAATATTGCTTATACATCTATACCTTTACTAAAATTACTGACTAATCGATCGCGTGGGAAGTAGAAACATTATCGACTTGTGTCGACAGATTCCTGGTTTTGCCTCTATCAAATTATTATCGTGCTACTT